CCCTGTTCTGAAAAGCTCCATCAACAAACAAGGTCACGTCCACAGGTGCAGGGGCTTTTACTTCCACCCTGTGTCTACTTGGAGTCCAGAGCTGCCTGTCCACGTCCCCGGTGCTCAGCCCTGCGTCTGGCACGTGTTCCTGTGTTACTGAACGAATGGGAGAATGAAGAGCCTCTGAGCCAGGAGTATTCCACATGGCTCAAGGCCCCCACAAAGCAGCAGGGGCCAGTGACAGCTCAGTGAGCAACCTTGGACCCACAGGCAGGATGTCTGATGGGTGGATTCACAGCCCATGGGCCTGAGTACAGCCACCCGCTGTCTGTCGGAATGCAGCTGTGACCCTGAGCATACTGCCAAGCCCGAGGGGAAAAGTCCTGGCAGTCAGTTGATGAGCACCCCATGGGGCACAATGGTCAGATCCTTACCATGACGCCAAGGCCTGACTCAACCCAAGCTCACACCCAGTCACTAATGGAGCCAAGCGCCCTGTGACTTAGTGGCTTACAAGCTGGGCTGCTAATGGCAAGGTCAGCAGTTCAAAACCACCTGCCTCTCTGAGGGAGAAAGATGAGGCTTTCTGTTCCTGTCAAGAGTAATAGTTACAGAAGCCTGTAGAGTGGTCACGAGTCAGACTCCATAGCAGGGACTTGCCCCTGGCCAGTGGGCTTGGTGAGTTCTGGAGGGGTTGGCGGGGGCGGCACCTCCTTGTTGATGAGCACACAGGATATCCTGGAGCCTGACGAGTGTGCTGTGCAGACAGCTGGGCTACCAGTACTACGACCTGGATAACACGATGTATCTGTTGATGAAATCAGAGAGGGGATGGCGATATGTAATCAACTCACCAACAAGCACTCTAGCAAGCTTATCCCCGTCAGAGTCTTGCTGCTTCCAAGGGGTGGCATTCCAGTCAGTGTCTGCGTACCACGGACGGATTTCAAACTAGGAAAAACATCATTTCCCCCTCCAGAGAACTTGTTGAAGACTCCCCTTTGAAAAGTTTCTTATTTCCCCTGAAGAAATATGAGAGTTTGGGAATTCCAATGTTTCATCTTTTAGATAGTAAACACGACCGGCACAGGGCATTGGATTAGAAATGGAAAGAAAGGATATATTCATTTGAAAACTTTTATAAAATTCAGAAGCTAAAACAGTGAGCATACCTTTAAGGCATCCGCCAGTGAGAGCGTCCGCTTTGAGGTAAATATGAGAGGTTTGGCTTAGGCCGGGCTGATAGTCATCTGTGGATAACAAAGAGATTTATACCAAGTAGCAATCTTACACCAAGAAGGC